TAGAATGGTGATCATTAAAAAAATCCAGAGACAACAGATGCTGGAGAGGTTGTGGAGAAATAGGAACACTCTTACACAGTTGGTGGGAGTGTAAATTAGTTCAACCATTGTGGAAGACAATGTGGTGATTTCTCAAGAATGTGGAAATAGCAATTCCATTTGACCCAGCAATCCCATTACTGAGTATATACCTAAAGAATTATAAATCATTCTATTATAAAGACACGTGCACACATATGTTCATTGCAGCACTGTTTACAATGGCAAAGACCTGGACAAAAAAAATGTGGCACATAAACTATGGAATACTATGCAGCCATAAAAAATGATGAGTTTATGTCCTTTGTAGGAACTTGGGTGAATCTGCAAGCTATCATTTTCAGCAAACTGATGCAAGAACAGAAAACCAAACACTGCATGTTCTCACTCATAGGGGGAGTGTGAACAATGAGAATGTTCAACAATGTGGACTCAGGGAGAGGAGCATCACACACTGGGGGCTGTTGGGTGTGGCTAGGGGAGGGACAGTGGGAGGTGGCGAGGGTGGGGAGGGATAAAATAGGGAGAAATGCCAGATATAGTCAAAGGGGAAATAGAGGCAGCAAACCACCTGGTTGTGTATGCACCTATGCAACAACCCCGCATGACATGCACATGTACCCCAGAATGTAAAATAAAATTAAAACAACAAGAACAACAAGAAACAGAACTGGCACTCAACTCAGCAATCCCATTACTGGGCATATACCAAAGGAATGTATATCATTCTACCATAAAGTCACATACATGCATGTGTTCATTGCAGCCCTATTCACAATAACAAATACATGGAATCAACCTAGGTACCATCATCAGTGAACTGAATAAAGAAAATTCGTACATATATACCATGGAATGTTACACAACGATAAAAAAGAATGAAATCACGTTCTCTGAAGCAACATGGATGGAGCAGGAGGACATTATCCTAAGTGAATTAATGCAAGAATAGAAAACCAGATACTGCGTGTTATCTCTTATGAGTGGGAGCTAAACATTGAGTACACATGGAAACAAAGAAGGCCACAATAGACTTGAGGGCCTACTTGAGAAGGGTGGGAGTGGATGAAGATTGAAAAACTTACTTTGCTTATTATCTGGGTGATGAAATAATCTGTACACCAAACCCCCATGACCATAATTTACCCACATACTCCCTGAACCTAAAATAAAAGTTGAAATGGAAAAAAAATTATACAAAGAGGTACTTCTAAAAACATAATAGAGGAAACAAAATGTAATACTGAAAAATATTTGTTTAGCATAAAAGTAGACAGAAAAGGAAGAATAGGAACAAAACTTTTATGACACAAATAGGAAACAATAGCAAAACCCAATCATATTATTAACTATATAATATTTATGGACTAAACACACAGTAATTGTCAGTATAAAAAATCCATTTATCTTAGTCTTTTTAAGAAATCTACTTTTAAATGAAAATAAAGATAGATTGAAAGTTAAGCAAAATCAGAAAAGACATACCATACAGAATAAGCATATGAAAACTGCTATAGCAATATTAATAAAAAATAAAGTGGACTTTATGACAAAAAGTGATATCTGAGATTAAGTGGAGATCTTCACAGTTATTGAAATATCAATTTATAAGATCTAAAAAATCTAAAGATTCAAAATATTATAAATATTTATGTACCTCATAACAGTGCTTCAAAGAACATGAGGAAATACCGGAAAAATGAAAGAAAAATAGGAATCCATATTTACAGATTGAAAAAATCCACATTTATTTTTTTACCAAGAGAGACAATGCATTGAGCTGTGAGTTAAATTTCAATAAAATTCTAAAGTTTGACATCCCAGAGAGTACGTTCTCAGATCATAAACATCCAGTGTAGAAATAGAAATTATAATATTTAATAAAGCCCAAATATTTGGAGATTAAACAACAAAATCACAAGAGAAATTAGAAATTATGTTAAATAAATGATAACATAAAGCATTTCTGAATTCATGAGAAGCAGCTAAAGAACTGCTAGAAGGAAATTTATATTTAAAAGCTTATATGATAAAAGAAGAAAGTTTATAATCATAATTTAACATTCCAAATTGATAGGTAGCAAAATAAAATAAAATTTAAACTCAAAACAGGTCAAATGAATAATATAATAAATAGAACAGAATCAATGAAAATACAAAAAATGAAAACACAGATTTTTTAAAAGATTAAGAAAATTGATAAATCACCGCTAACATAAGTGATTAATAAAAGGAGAAAAGCAAAACATAATCACTTTAAAACTTAAAGAAGAGATATCAGTATAGATGCTATAGACTTCAAGAAGATAATAAGGGAATTTTTTAAACTGTCTATTATTTGACACTTTAGATGAATTGAACAAATTAATTGAAAAATATATCAAAAATTGACCCTCCCCGAAGATATTAATACAAAACCTATCTAGCCCTATGCCTCATAAAAAGTAGCCAATGCATTTAAAAATGTTCTTCCCACAAAGAAAACTAGAGGCTTACATAGTTTCACTGGGGAATTTGTTAAGCATTTTAAAGATAATTAATTTTAATGTTAAGTTATTTTAGAAAACAGAGGAAGAAGTTCATTTCCCAGATCATTTGTTGATGCCAGTATACCCCCTGACAAAGATATTATAAGAAAATAAAATTATAGACCTATCCAATATCTTTTATGAGAGGATGTCAAAATTCTTAACCAAATATTAGTCAATGGAATCATCCAATATATAAAAATGATAATATATCATAACCAGATGGATATTAACTCAAAAATGCAAAGTTGGCTTTATATTTTAAAAATCAATTTGTGTAAATTGACCACGTTAACAGAGTAGAGGAGAAAATCCTTATGTTCATTTTAGCAAGTTTCGAAAGGTATATGATAAAATTCAAAACAGTTTTGTTGTAAAACTCTCTGGAACCTAGGAATAGTAGAGGACCTACTGTACATAAAAAACAAAGCATGTACATAAAAAATCTGCAGTTCACATCATACTCAATAGTGAAATATTAGGTTTCCCTTTAAAATTGAGAACAAAGTGAAGATGTCAGCTGTCACCATTTTTAGTTAACCTTGGCATAAAGATTGCAAAGGAAGAAGTAAGACTGAAGGTAACACAATTGTTTATGTGTATGTTTCATAAGCATGTAGTTTAAAACTACTAGGGTGAATAAGGATGGCTATAGGACATACAGTCAATATTAAAAAAATCTTTAATAATTATTTTAAAGAATTGAAAAACTATTTTTAAAAAACAATTTTTTTTACAATCATGCAAAGGAAAATACTAAAGATTAATTTAACAAAAGATATATAAGATCTTTATACTGGAATAGTGACACGAATAAAGAAGATAGAAATAAATGGAGAGATAGGCTATGTTTGTTGGTTAAATGACTCAATATTATCATGATGTTATTTTTCTCAATATTTGTTTTCTTTTAACATTTAATTTTATTTTATTGAGAAAATTGTATGACATATTTTAAAATATATAATATATATATATATACAATTGAAATCATTATATCAAGCTAATTAACATACTACCTAACATAATTATCAATTTTGTTCTGAGAACATATAAAATCTATCCTCAACATTTTTCAAGAATATATTGTAATTAACTATAATTACGATATTGTATTAACACCATTCTGTACAATAAATATCTTCAATGTGTTCCTACGATCTAACAAAAATTTTGTATTCTTTGACCAACATCTCCTCAAACTCCATTCTCCATATCTGTATATAGATTCTATGCAATAATCTTAATATTTTCTGTAATTGACAAGTTGATTCTGCAATTGTATGCAAACACACACACACACAAAAACCCTACTATAGACAAAACAACCTTGAAAAGAAAGAATAAAGTTGGTATATGATACTACCTAAATTCTAGACTTTTTAAAGCAATGAAGATAGTATGATAATAGCACATAGAAAAATAGATGCTTGAAACATAACTTTCTAAAAATTGATCCATGTAATATATCAATTGATTTTTCAATGAATGGTGCTAGAACTTAGAGTTAACTATATAAATCTGGTTACTTATTTCACATCACACACCAACATTTACTTGATATGGGAAATCGCTCTATAAGTTAAAAATTTGGTTTTTAGAATAAAAAAATAATATTTAGACTTTGAACACGTACTTCACAAGAGAAGATATAGGAACAGTCAAGAAGCCCTTACAATTAAAATTAAATCCATAATCAGATGCCATTTCACACCCACTAGATGACAAAAATCCAAAAAGGTAGTCAACATCAAATATTAGGGATGTACTGGAACTCATGTAACTTTTTGGTGAACACATTATACATTATTACTAATTTGGCAAAACGTTGATGGTTTCTCATAAAGCCAAGCATCTACCTATCCTATGTAAAAAGCATTCTACTAAGTATTTACATAAGGTAAGTAAAGACATGACTATAAAATAACTAGTATGAAATTATTTATAGGAGCTAAGCTAAAACTGGAAATGATCCTAATATCTATCAACAGGAGAATGGATTTAAATTTTTGATATGTTTATGCAGAGAAATATTACTCAGCAATTTCTTTTAACAAAAGAACTACTGATGCACAAACAACATGGATAAATCTTAAAATATGTTGAGTGAAAGAAGAGAGACACAGGCTTGTATATGCTGTATGATTTCATTTTTATGAAATTCACTAATAGGCACAACTAATTTATGTTCTAAAAATCAGAACAGAGTTTGCCTAGGGGTGGGACTGACTGTAAGGAGCCATGATAAAACTTTCTGGTGTGATGGAAATGTTTTATCTCACATCCTCAAAGATTTAAGTCAGTTTCAACAATGAAATGTTCCTACTCACCTTTAATTTGAAGTTCAACTTTTTAGAGAAACTTTCACAATTATTATATTTTTGTATGAAAAAGCAAAAAAATAACCCTTTATAAAGAAAAAGCATACTTTACCCCTTTTGGTCTGAAGAAGCCATTAGTGCATGTCTCACAGTTTATACCAGCAGTGTTTTGGGTACAATTAATGCAGACACCCCCTCCAATATACTTTCCATGTATATTCAAACTCAGATTTCTTCTGGCAACATTTTCATCATAATAGCATTCTTTAGCTTTTCCATGACAATTACATGCTGGATTAGGGAAAAATAAATTAATAAACATAATTTCAGGTTTCAGATACATTTAAAAATCATTTTTGTGATACATAATAGATTTTTATACTATACAGGAAAGTACATTTAGCATACACATGCACAAAGATATCTAGACAGTATCTGAATTTATTGGATGTCTTAATAAATTCACATTAATTTGAAATAATTAAAACAAATTAAGCACAAGCATATGCAATTTTCATTATTTGATTTTGACTAACGGAAGTGCAATTTTATATGGTTCAACTAATAATTTCCTATTATGACAAATAATACATTTTTGAATGATGGCACTGAATGATTAACAGCTAGGTAATCTGTAATGAATTATTGCTATATGGAAATGTCTGTTAGATCCTATGGATAATGAAGGACATGTGTAATACATTTTCTTTCTATTAACACTTATAACAACTAAAATGTATTTAGGTTTTTTTCAATGCCAGACACTGTCCTAAGTTCTCTATATTTATTACCACTGATTTTAATCCTTAAAAATGCTTTTAGGAATAAGGTATTATCATTATTAACCTATCTTTGCATACTGTTTCCATGTGTGTGTGTGAACCTGAGGCCAGAGAAGTGAAATAATTTGCAGAAGATAATCTAATCGGTATTGGAAACCAACCTCTGAAGCCAGACTCCAGAGTCTACTAAAGACTGCCCGAATCCCTTCACATTCTACCTGGTAAGCAAGCTAAGATACATGACAGGTGGCAAGCAATTAAGACAAACTGAGAGCTGGTTTACTTAGTGGCTAAGGTCTTGCTATTTTGTACCCCACTGTCTTGGATTTGCGTGTGCTCTCCACTACTTAGTAGTCATGTGATGTTAGAAAATTCTTAATTTCACAAATGCTTAGTTTCTATATAAAACATGGAGAGGTCAATAGCAATTACTAGATTGGGATATTTAAAAGCACAAATGAGATAATGCATGTGAAATCATTAGCATAATGTCTTATAAATAAGTTCACAATTGATTTTTCTTCTCTTCATCCTCCTTGTCTCTTTCATGTTACATTAGAAGAATTCAAAGAAGTAAAAAATTATTTTCTCCAGAAAGGATTGGGTAAGACTTTTTAAAATATGAAGAATTTATATTAGGATAGAACTAGGGAAACATTAAGGCAGCGTCTCCTTCCTGCATGAGATGTTGAATTTCTTAGGAGTTCTAACAGTCATTTCCACGTGTGTGTATGTGTAGGTGTGTATGTAGGTGCCCTTGTATGCATACAGCTCAATCTTTTTATTCTTCTGCAAAAGGGAAGGGGCATTTGTATATTTTTCAGAACTGTCTCATTTTACTAACAGTAAATCATGGAGCTCTTTCCATATTAGCATGTGTATCCTCTAATGTTACAGAGGGTACTACTTGAATGAAGGTATTTACCAGGTATCTATTAATGAACAATTACACAGTTTCCATGTTTCTCCTTTACGAATAACACTGCACACATACTAGGAGAACAAGGATGCGGGGTGGAGGGAGGAGCTCTAATATTAGAAAAATTTCCTGTTTGCCAGTTGACCGATTTTGAGGCAAAAAATCAAATCCTAAAATCCTTTTAGTACTTGTCTCTTATACTTGTTTTGAGAATGCTGAGCAGAATGCCTGAAACATACTAAATACTGAGCTCAATAAATGTTAGTAGCAGTAGTGGTAGCACTTGTATAAAAATGACAAAGATCGTGATAGTATTCCCTTTACATCTATATAAATATCTCTATTGGCTAAATTCCTAGAAGCATAATTTCTAGTCAAAGGGTGTGTAAAATTTAAATTTTAATCACTTAAAAAAATTCCCTCCAGGAATACTATGACAAATGACTTTTCTTCTAGTAGAAATGATAAAACAGTTTCTCCATAGCCGCCAACCTTGTGTGTTATCAACCCATGAATACAATTCCTGGACATAGTAGGCATTCAAATATTTGTTGAGTAGATGAATGAACACTTTGATAAGTTAAAAATAATATTGTCATTGTTTTAATTGATACTTCCTTAATTATGAGTGTGATTATATTTTTACAAGGTTATTTGTAAATACCATTTCTGAGAAATACCTGTTTGATCTTTACTCATTTTTAACAGGTTAATTAACTTTTTTCTTATTGATATGTAAGATCTTTTAGTATAGAAAGGTTATTACACCCTTGTAATGCTTGTTGTAAATACCTTTCCTAACTTGCTGACATTTGATTTATAATATAGTATTTTTGCTGTGTTAATGGAGAGTTTCAAACTTTGGGGAATGCATAGTAATAAATATAAATCACTAGGCATTATAAGCAGTTTTATATCTTTAGGACAACATACAAGAATTCCTTTTTCTTTCTTCAAAAAGACAGTGATATGGTTTGGCTCTGTGTCACCACCCAAATCTCATATCAATTGCAATTTCCACCTATGGAGGGAGGGAGGAGATTGGATCAAGCGGAGGTTCCCCCATGCTGTTCTCATGATAGTGAGTGAGTTTCTACAAGATCTGATGGTTTTATAAAGGGCTTTTCCCCCTTCACTTTCTCCTCCCTCTCCTGCACCATGTAAGACATGCCTGCTTCCCCTTTCCCCTTGATTGTAAGTTTCCTGAGACCTCCCTAGCCATGCAGAATGGTGAGTCAACTAAACCCCTTTCCTTTATAAATTACCCAGTCTCTGTGGCTAACACCTTCCATGGGCACCGAGGAAGGAGACTGTCCAGACTCCAGGCACAATTAGTGCCTAAAGAATATCTTAGTTTATAGTGTTATTGCTCAGCTGTTTCCTTTATATAATCCTGCATATATAATCATATATTAGTTTATAGAATTAGTGCTTGAAGTATAACTTACTGCTTACATATATCTATATAATCATACTTAATAATTATATCTACTTAGTTCTATATAAACTTTCTTTATAATCATAAAGGTATTGCAGTCAGAGCTGTAATGACACATTTAGCGCTGATTTATATGATCCTTCTGTATTAACCATATAGTAGTTTGTAGTAGGAGGAATGCCTAGAGCAGTCACAGAACAGAAGCAGTACATGGAAAAACAGCCAGACCAGGATGAGAACCAAAGACCCAGGCAGTGGCATCCCTGCCTGAAAGGGCATACACTGTATGGCAGGCTTGGAGCAAGAGCCTCTCCTCCTGATAAAGGAGTTGCAGCACCTTGCATCCAGTTCCTGTGGAAAGCAGGCCTCAGGCCTGAGATCCTGGAAGTAACCGAGGGAGAAGAACCTCTCTGGTGTGACCAGTCCCAGTGGCTGTACACCCTGTCAGTCTTTTCTTGCTTCTGTGCTAGCTCAAATCATCCTCCCATAAATATCTTAAAAGAAGAGCACAAGTCTGCCAGCTCCCACTGCATTAAGCTTACAATATCTTTCTATTAGAAATCCTTTGAAGTCTTGGGGCCCCAGATAAGAAGTGCTGCACACAACACCTGTTGCACACAGCCCACCTCCTTGCCTCGGTGACCTATTGGGGGTGGACCCCTTTTCTGCACATGACCCTCTACTACTGTGCACAGCATGGCCCCCTGCTGTACACAGCCCACCTCTCTGCCCAGGTGACGTAATGGGGTAGCCCCCTCGCTTGTGACTCATGTGATTATATATACCCTATTACTAAGCCTATAGATGATGATCTCATGCATGACCCTGCCCCCTGCTTGTACCTAATAAATACAGATGCACTGGGGCATTTGGGACCTGCCACTGATCTCCACTCACAAGTGGTGTGGTCCTCCGAGTCCAGATGCTCTTCATCAGTTATTCAGTGTCCTGCCTCTTTACTTCTCAGATCCTGCACCTCAACACAGCATAAGGGACACCCCACGACCCTGTGGGGCCTCCACAGCCCTACAAGTCTCAGGTAGTGTCTTTATAGCAGTGTGACAGCAGAATAATACAGAGAGGGTCTCACTGCGTGTCTTAGGCTGGCCTCAAACTCTTAGGCTCAAAACATCCTCCCACCATAGCTCCTTTCCAGTAGCTGGGATAATAGGAGCATGCCATCGGACTGGCTATGAATTCTTAAAAACTTTGTTGTAAAAGTTTCAAGAAGCAGTCAAAACTTCTGCTGCCAGTATAAGCAGAGGAAAAGTTAAAGTAATATAGACTTATTCTCATACCACTTAGAACTGATGTTGTCAAGAGTGTTTAAAACTATGAGCCACTATAGGTAAAACACGGATGCCAAAGCAACAGTCCTTCACACACTCTGTGCAGCCAGGACCCTATACCTATAGTCTCACTTGCTGTCTGTGGGCCACAGCCTACCCAGCTCTGTCTGTAGCCTTCAAGAATGTGGCTAGCAACTGGTCATGAAGCCATGTTTTTGCTCTGTCATCAGCAACTTACTACTTCACAGAATGTCCAAGATATATCATATTTAAACTGCTCTTTAGTATAGGCTTATCAATTGAATGCATATTCTATGTTCTTTAGAGATATATCTTGCCTTAGGTAAGCTAGATTGATGAAAATCCAAATTAAACTCAAATGAATTAGAATGTGATTATTCATTTTATGGAGGGATTTGTCATGTCACAGAAGGGTTTTTCTAAACATTAAGGTGATTGGAATATAATTCAACTTGGAAAAGAGTAATTTTACATAAGCTTTTAGGAATGTATTCATTGCTGAAAGTGTGATTTTTATCTAATGTTTTATGGCTAAGATCCCCATCTTGAATTTCTGGGTTTTTTAAATGTTTATTTTTCAGTTTGGAAATATGACCTCCCCACTTCCCTACAGGGAAAGAAAAATGTTTCACAAGCCCACTATTTAAAAAATGTATATAGTAGCAGTTTAAAATGTCTTGCTTTGCTTAGTCTACCTCTATTGCTAACGAGTTGCTCTATTCCTTTTGTTCTGTATTTAAACATAGAAACACAAGGAAAGAGTGGTAAAGGATTTTGCAGAGCTACTTAACATTAGGTAATTATCACTGTGGAAAGCATGTCAGTGGCAACAGAAAGACTCCTGCCTTCAAGTGCTGCTCCCACTTGTGATTGCTGATAGTCCACAAACAGAAAAGAGGTTTAATTAAAATTTAAAGGAGCTTGAGAGCAAACATCCCTGGATGGCATTACATTTAAAGTTACTCTTAAGAACAAATGTCTGTTCTCTATGGAGAAGCTCTGGAGAACTGAGGGATTAGCCAGAACATGGCTGGAAGTAGTTGAAGGAAACAAAGGCTGGGCCTCCAGTGGTCCCCCACCATGCATGGTGAGTAATGATCTAATGGTGTCTCAGGCCTCCAGATATGCCTCATTAATAATGGGAGATTTCTAATCCATAATATCTTTATAAGCAGGCAGATACAAATCAAAAAGCAAATGAAATGAGTGCAGAAAGTGAGGAGATTTAATAGCATATATGCAGAATCTCAAACTAAAAAGAAAATACAGTCATCCCTCAATATCCATGGGGATGGTTCCGGGACCTCCCTCAAACACCAAAATTCAAGGATACTCAAGTTCCTCTTATAAAGTGGCATAGTATTTGCATACAACCTATGCACATCCTCCTGTATACTTTAAATTACCTCTAGATTACTTATAATACCTAACAAAATATAAATGCTATATAAATAGTTGTTATATTGTTTAAAAAATAACAAGCAACAGTCTGTACAAGTTTAGTACAGATGCAACTTTTTTAAGAAAACATTTTTGATCTGCAGTTGGTTACACACATGGATGGAGAAACCATTGATATGGAAGGCCAACTTTACATCTTATAGTTGGGGAATGTTTTATGATTAAGGTGTGCTATGATTCTATAGTTTTAAAGACCTGTCATGTCTGACACGTTATACATGATAAATGTGAGTTGAGTTAACTTGTTATTCAAAGAATATATGGTGTTGGTATTAATTCAAAATGTCTACCAAGCTGTTTTTGAAGGCCATATATACTTAATGAGCTGAAAAAATGTGGTCAGGGCTGATTTACTACAATATTAATATTTGAATTCAGTTAAATTGGACTTCATACTAGTTTAGGTTTACATTTCAGCAGAAGACTACTATATTTTTAGGTCTATTCTTGGGTTGAGAAAATCTTTAGGAACACAGGTTTCTCCATGATACCTGTCACCTAATAAGACCAGTTGTCACTATTAGGCTATAAAGTCATCTGCTGCATTTCTTAGATATTTCCCTTTAGAAAAAGCTAGCCATATGGACTGTCTTTGAAGTGATAATATAAATGAGTATTTGTTGACACATTTGCATAACCAGCCATTTTACTGTTTTTCATTACTGGCTTTTTTTTTTTTTTTTTTCTTGAAAAGGAAGAATGATATATTTTGTTGGCTTCTAAAGAACATACCTTCACATTCAGTTTTAGTCAGAAAAGTTCCAGCTCTCCAGGGTTTCTGATGGAATCCTGGACAGCACTGATCACAGCTGTCACCACATGTGTTATGCTCACACTCACAGCGAGATTTCTAGTCAAAAAGAGGGAGAAAGCACAAATTTTAACCTTATTTAGAACCATAAAGAAAGCCTCTCTCTAAAGGTACTACGAAGGAAAGAGAAAACATCTGGACTATGTACTAAAATGTAAAACTAGTCAGCCCGGAAAGAAAGTGGCGCCAGGCTTGACGTGGGTATATTTTATCAACATCAGCTGAAGGAAGTCCACGCTGGTTCTGGAATCACTGGGTTTAGGCTCAGAAGAAAGCAGGAAGGCCCAGCTGGGAGTGGTCTTAAAGACTGAATTCTCCTTTTCTGAGGCCTGGGTTCTATGCGTTTTTGGGATTGGTGTGCTTATTTTAAGGCTCCCCTCAAAATGTTGCTAACATTTTTGGATGTGGAAAAGAGGAGGGAGTTGATTCCTAGGCCTCTTGGGGTACAGCTAAAACAGGAATCTAACATCCCTGGAACTAAATATCCTGTCTGTATGTCCTCTGGATACTGTCTCAATTCACCTCATGGAATTGGCCTTCTAAGGCTGTCTTGTAGACTTTTGTATTTTATTTATTATTTTTTTTGAGACGGAGTCTCACTGTGTAGCCCAGGCTGCAGTGACATGATCTTGGCTTACTGCAACCTCCGCCTCCCGGGTTCAAGAAGTTCTCTGCCTCAGCCTCCCAAGGAGCTGGGATTACAAGGGCCTGCCATCAATGCCCGGCTAATTTTTGTATTTTTAGTAAAGATAGAGTTTCACCATCATGGCCACGCTGATCTTGAACTCCTGACCTTATAAAACACCCACCTCAGCCTCCCAAAAGTGCTGGTATACTTTTAAAGCCTGGGAAACACCGCTCACCAGTACACCTGATAGAAAGTACCCATAATAGGCAGAAAGCAACACTACAGCTTTGCCCATATAAATATGTTAATGTACTTTAATCTTCCTAAGAGATAACATTATAATCCAATAATCAGAAAACTAGCTTTGAGTATGTCATTTGCATTGCTATATTTGAAAAAAAAAATCTGTGGCTCTATCTACATTCACTGATCTAACTATTCAATGTATTTTTCCGTGCACTATACAGGAGGTGAGTGTGGATTTCACCAGTTTGTCTATGACAGGAGAAATAGGTGCTCATTCATCTTCTACTTTAGGTTATGTTCACTTAATTCACTGTCATTAATGAAAAACATCTATCCAAAAGCATTCTGGCATTTTCCAGCTTGCCACTATCAGTACTCTTTTGATGGTCTCATCCACTCCACCCCCACATTGCCCCTGCCCTACTTTATCCTCCTTTTCCATTGCCACTTACATATTTACTTCCCTGCACATTTTTTATTCATTTGTGTTAATTTTTTGATTAAAAGCTTTAAAAGAAATGGTCAGGTTGATTGATGGCAGGCATTCTCTAAAGCTAAATCATAATGCAGGCTGTCATAGCTAGAGAGGTTTCAAAATAGGCCAATTTGGAGCCTTTTTGGAAAAAAAAAAAGAAAAAAACTAATCTGTTTTCTGATACTGTGATGGCTGATTTCAAAGTCTATCATCCCAACTGCCAGCTCTTATTTCACCCTGGCATGGATTTCTGTTACACTGCCTAAGTGGGGACCCGACACTCATTTACAGCGTTCTCTGTCAGCAAAGACTCTCATGAAACATTTTACAGCTCAGAGCTTCATTTTGCCTAAGCATCCTATAAATATACATACATTTGTCACTGGATCAAGTGGACAAGCCCTGGCATGACCATAGCAGATGCACATCCCTCCAACCGAAATATCCTTGACTGAGTAGTAATACTGCAAAAAGCAATCCAGAGAGAAATCCTGTTAAGATGACTGCAAGGTGAAAGTAACAAAAGGGGACATTCAGTAAAAACTTCATTTTCTGCTTTTATCCTTAGTTTGAAGGACATTTGTGCTTCTTGAGGACAAGTGAGGACTCACGAAACCGACAAAGTAAGTCCTAGCATTATAAACTTAGCCCAAAGGAAGAGTGCCTTTCATTTAAGCTAGGTGGGCATTTTAGAACTGTCTTTCTCCCAGTCAGCTATGGCTGAGAGTAGTTTTTATCAGGGGCTAAGGACAATTGCTCTTCATAAAAGTTGTTTTACATAGTATCTTGCAAGAAACCCTCTTTTATTATGATTATAGGAACTGCAGTATTCACAAATTATATGCATACTATTTTACTTGATGGAGTTGAAAAGAACCAACAAAATTTAGAGAGAAATTGTACTAAAAACAATATATTCCTTAACCATATTAAGAAGAAAATCGAAAAGTCATTAACTGTAAGCTTGTTGTGCAGAACATTTGCATTTTTATATTATTATGTTTAAAAGTCCATACAATTACCTTTTTATATGAAGTTAACATAGAGCTGTGTGACTAATTATTTTAATCTACCCAGCTACTTTTTAAGGATAATTATGGAAGCTGGACTATTTTTAAAATTTTAATTAATACGTATATAACATTTCATAATTGTCAGAGCACTTTAAATTATCATATTCAAATAACCATCTTAGTGTTAGATAGTTCTATTATTCCAATTATACACACAAAAGAAAAAGAAAACAGAATTAACAAGAATATGTAGAATGGACACATATCTGAGTTCCCTCACTAAAAAATCTCCCTTTTCCAATTTACTTCTTTGTTTCCTTTTATTTGTTTTGTTATGTACATATAGTGTCTTTGAAAATATTTTCGTTATGTTATCTTATTTGATATACCTAGACCCTGGAACTGGCTGGAGAGTTTGGATAGTAGAAAAATCTTTTTTTTCCTTTAAACTCATCACTTAATAATATAGATTCAAACAGAGATATTTGCTTAGAAAGGTGATACCAGTATTTGTAAATGCTTTTAAAATTGGGAAATCTATTTTAAATATGAATGTATAATTCTTTGCTTTTGAGTCATGAAGAGGAGCTGAAATTTTCTATCTTATTTTTATATATTTAAATTTAGATGTAGTGTTTATTAAACTTGAGTACTTTCAAAAATATATTTATATGTTGACTTATAGTGCACTATTTTAAAAGCTCATGTAAGATAAAGTTATAAATAATAGATGTGTGTCCCAACACCCACTCTGCCTTCTGCCCAACACCCACTCTGCCTTCTGCAAAAGATGATAGAAAGAACACTAAATTATTTTCATTGATTTTTTTTCTCTGATAGATATACTGTCAAGAAAGATTAAATTTCACTCCAATATTATTTGGTCTTCCTTGGTGTATATGTTTAAGTCACACCAAAATTAGAATTAAAAATGTTTTCTTAAACGTGAAAAATCTAAACATTGCTATAAAATAATAATTAGTTTTGCATGAGACAATTACTATATGTTGAGATAAAATAAAGGTGAAATTATTTCAGGTTTAGAAAATACAGGGCACTAAAACATCTGACATAGGTTGTATGAGACTAACTAAAGCCTAAAAAGTTATCTTGTGATGACGGAGAGGTTGGGTGTGGGAAAATTAAGTAACGAGGAAAGAAGGCATGTGAGGAGTATTTAGGATCTGTAACTATTTACCCTAATGATTCAGCAATTTGACAACTGATGACAGTGGTCTCACCTTAGTAGGATCATTCTAGAATAATTGCTTTGTCCTACAATATTAATTTCTCCCTATAGTCCTCTTTCTTAGCTATACCTCTAGTCATACAGTAGATACTGTATTCACATGTTTCCTTTATGGATTTATGGCTGAATTGACTTCCCTGGTATAAATGTCTTGGTTGTGTAGCAGCAGATGTGGGAGGTGCTATAAACCAATGAATGTGGTAGAAGGTAGACAGGAGGGAGCACAGTTATCACTCATAGCATCTGGGTTGATCATCTACCATGTAATCCCACAAATTCCTGTTTAAAAATGGAAGACAGAAATTCTGTTAGCTCTTGTGTTCAAAAAGCTTTGGAAAAGGTGCTTTAAGCGTTTTTCCCTCAATATTTTATTTGTAAAGGAAAATACAACAGTATGTAGAATCAGTTTCTCCTATAGCAGTGCATTTTAAAAACTATGGCTTTTGATTCATTAATCAAGCATAAAACCAAATTATTTGACGGTTCACAAACCAGCATCACCTGGAAACTTACTGAATTGCAGTATCTTAGCCCTGCTCTCTACCTACTGAATCATAACTTGTATTTCCACAAGATCACTGGCTAACTCCATGCACATTAAGATTTAAGACATATTGCTCTCTGTATGCGTGTATATGTGTATACTGGGTCAGTTGTGGCCAAAAAAAGAAATATTTCAAAGTCCCTGCACATCCAGTTGTAACTAGCCAAAGCCAATTATAATAGTAGTACAGATCACCTAAAGTGATGAAGACTAATTTTATCCCGAAAAATAAGATTATTAACTAGACATGGTGATTCTCATTTTACAAAAGAAGAAATGAAAGTTTCAGAAGGCTAAAATGTTTGATAAATGTTACACATGTAAAAAGTGGCACAGCTCGGATCTGAACAAAGGAAAGTCTGCCAAATTTTAAATAATAATAATTAATAAAAAATTTTTAAATTCTAAAATAAAAAAATTGATAATAACCAGTCCTACAAATCACTGAGAGATTTCTTTTAATAGTATTTAACAGACAAATAAAATAAGTGGGATATCATTTGTAAGATCTAATATGGTTCATCTTAACTTACTCTTCTTGTGACAATGGGGTCAATTTCTCTTGGGTCTTTGTGAGCAAACATCATCAAGTCAGCATTCAAGGTGCGGATCCTCTGAAATCTCAGGCGAATATAGCGAGCAGAGGTAAATTCCAGCAGTTCAGGAGAAGGATCATCAGCACTTGGTCGCCCATTGATTAAAGAGATATGAATCTACAAATATGAAGAAATATCGACAATTGAGTTTACCAAAATTTACATAGCAATTTTGTTTCTTTTTCTTGGAAAAATAAAGGTAACTTCTCATTCTTTGAATTAGGCAGATTCAGGTACATGCCTATGAACTGGCATCTAGTGAAGTAATTTATATATGTTATAGTCTTCTTAATACATGTATATGCAACTTGTTTGTTTATATCATAGGCATTTCTCTATAAACTTCAACTACCTGTATTTCTATGCTCCAAGGCATTGCATCAACTTGACCTTCCTATGATTTCCATAAATTCTTAATCATTCTTTTTCTGAAAATTATTGTGCCCGAGCTTATTTAAGAAGCTGGGGCATGGAAGGAAATCAGAAAACTTGGGGGAAAAGTTACAAAATATCAGATTAAGAAACGAACCCCTTAAGAACCTAAAATAATTCTATACTTGAAAGTGTCACATTATATAGCCTTAAATTGTGGAGAACAAAAATTACAAGGAAAACTAGACAAATCTATACTTACAGTGAGATATTTCACTAGGTTGTTGTGATTCGTGTTTTTTTAGTAACTGATAGGACAAGAAGACAAAAATTCACCAAGAATGTAACATACTCTATGAAAATCACACTCTAAAAAAATATGTTAAACCTGAATGGAATGGTGAAATTTTTAAGACAATAATTTAGCACAGTTGACACCAGAAGAAATACAATTTAGTGAGACAATTTTCTATATGAAAAATAATTGAGAAATTGCCAAGAAACTGCCCTCCAATGGTGTACAAAGCTGGCAGGCTCTCAAAGGGACTTCTCAAGAGCAAATAATTCTAATGAAGAATAAAGTGTGTGATAAAATAAAATGTACTGTTAGTACAGACAAAGGAAGTATGTTCCTAATACTTGAAGAACTCTTGTAAATCTACAAACAAAAGCACCAACAACATAACCAAATGCACAAATATATGAGGGCCCTATTCAAAGAAAAGAAAATTAAAATGGCTGTTAAACATTTATAAGATACTGATCCTCCTTCATGACAGGAGAAATGTAAATTAAAAACACACTGATAACATTCCCATTTTTTTCAGGTTGGCAAACCCCACAATTATTGTAATATACTCTGACGGTAAGGCTAAGAGAGTAGATACATGTCTCTTAAATTTACCGGTGTAAGTGTAAAATGGTACAAATTCCTAAGAAAGTCAATTGAGCAATAACTATCAAAATTAGAAATGCACAGTAATTTTGACCTAGCAATTTCACTTCTCAGAATTATCCTACAGATATAAAATAATATAGATGCTATATTACATGTGAACTGAATATGGCTAATGGACGGAATGTCTGCATACCCCTACTGAAATTCATTTGTTGAAAACCTGATCCCAATGTGATGATAGTTAGGAGTAAGGCCTTTGGTAGGTAATTAGATCCTGAGGATGGAGCCCTCATGAATGAGATTAGCGATCTAACAAAAAGAGGCCAGAGAGCTAGCTAGCTCTTTTTCCACCATGTGAGGCTACAAGCAAGTCAGCAGTCTGCAAGCCAGAAGAGAGTCCTCACCAAAGCGCAACCTTGCAGACACCCTGATCTCAGATTTTCAGCCTCCAGAACTACGGGAAATTTTTCTTGTTTACAACCCACATAGTCTATGGAACTTTCTTATGGTCCCCATACTGACAAAGACACTATTATTATTTCACCATTTTTGATTATAATCTTTTTTGATCATATCAAAGGACTGGAAATAACCTAATATCCATCAATATAGGACTGGCTAAATAAATTATATATCTGCATAATGAATTATGTGCAACCATAAAAAAAATAAGGAATAAACATACTGATAGGAAGAAGTATGTACTTTCACTTTTTTTTGTATCCTGTAAATGGATTATTACCTATGTAACAAATTGAATCAAACCAAAATTGTTAAAGAAAGTGAAATCGGGTGGTAGATTTTGAACTGAAAACACACACACACACACACACACACTTTCACACACACACACAAACATGCACACAGTGCTAAAGGGACAGGGATGGAAGAAGTGGGAGTCCTGTGCTGGGTGGGAGTGCTCGGGTACAGGACAGTGTGTGCACTGGGGAGCTGTGACTCAAGGTCACCCACTGGAATTTTCACCCACTTTTGTAAGATGATACATCATGTGTGTTAATTACATTTTTTGACAGGAGAGGCAATGATATGTATTTTCATTCCTAACGTCCTGCATTTGCATAATCCCAGGGAGCCTTTTACAAAGTGACTGCCAATAAACTACTTGAGTCATCAGAGAAATATAGCAAACTCTGAGATGAAAAACTAATTCTGGTGTCACAAGGAATAGATTCAGAATACCTCATGATAAAAATATGAATATGTTCTGGCTAATTGAATCTACCTTGTACACTTAGTAAGGAATAGAATTCAAGGTCTTCTAAAATACTGAATCTGAACATACTGAATCCCCTCTAATGTAGGAATTCTAAAAGAGTAAAGCAGATCTTGTATATTACTCAAGATCCACATTTCTGGCATCTAACAGGTGAGCCAGAAATGTGTTTAAAATTAGATATCTTTAAGGCTTAAGGAGGTAAGAGTTAAATGTTAAAAGAATGGACACATAGATGCAGGAAGCCACTAAAACTTGTTTCCCTTTGAGATTAACCACGGCACCCAAAAAGTCACCAGTGCCATTGAATTCATGCTTACATTTCTATCAAATTCTCCCTTGACTGCCCCCAAAAATACCACTTGAAAGAAAGGAGGAAATCACTACATGTCTAGGATTATAGTTTCTGAATGTTATTTGGGTTTATTTGGTAGGAACGCTGTGATCAATCATGTTTGTGCTGTATAAAGAATCAGTAAGTTTCTCACTTAAAGATACAAAGAAGTTTTTTTGGGGGAAGAAAGGTGTACACATTCTCATTTAGGTTAACAAGCCATACGATAGCTACATGGAGGATTCAGCAAAAGAACACTTCTCACAGCTTTGGTATTTTCATCAAGCTACTCTGCCAAGAGATCTTGTGAATATAGTTAGTCCCAAGCTGTTTCTGGAACACAAAACAAGCCAGCTGTTTGGCGATGTTGTGTGCAGCTTCCTTCCACCGTTTTGTGTGTATTTTTTTCCCATTCTCTTTCAAAACAAATCATAATATTGGATAGGATATTTCCACTAGTACAATACAGTATAATTCCAAGTCCGCTGGATAGTTTAGCATACTTCCTGATTTCCTATGGGGTGACAACCGGTGGGTGGTATCTATCTTCAAGGAAGATGAAATGTATCTATCCCCAAGACCACCACTGTCTTGCTGTGAGGACCTGAGAAATCTGTGGCAGCCTAGTGTCTTCCAAAGTGGTTTCTATTACAGACGTGTTGGTGGGTGTATGTTCATGCTGTCACAGGAATTCATTCCAGTTGAAAATATCAGCCTATGGGTATCATCAACTGGTTTTTTAGATCTTAAAATTATACTTTTCTTTGAAATTAGTTTTGCAAGGCAAATAAAGAGGGTGGGAACCTCATCAGAAACATCTCGTTTTATAACCAGTGACTAAATCAATGTTATACTCTGTTCACCCAATAATTCTGTTTTTACTAGTGTAAGCATACTATATAAATTATGTTTCCTTTATGGATTAGTAAGACCTCTGTGCCTCTGGCATTTTTAGTTTAGAATACATTTTTTAAATGATTTATGCAGCAAATAATTAGATTTCTAGTATAGATGATTGTCCATTATTATGCTTGTCTATTTATGTTGCTATGTTTGTTTTAGAAAGCTGGAAGAGCTATAATTCTAATATCTTCCCCAACACAAGTTTCTTGAGTGAATGGATGGATGCAAGAGTGAAGGCTACTGAAAGATCATCAATAAGTATCAGAAACTTTGAAATAAGTAGCAGAAGTGGATAAAGTTGACAACCTGATGTGTGGTATGCTCTCTCTTAAAACATTTTTGTATTATCAATCTCTACAAGTGTGCCAATGAAACAGATTAAACAAATTGAAAGTAAGCTGACCCCAGGAGACAGAACAGTAAATCCATATGTGTAGTTTAAGATTAAGGATGTATGGATATGGCCAAAGAATTTTTATGTAAATGAGTGGCTGAGACATCTGGGAACCTCTTAAATCCAGTCATGCTTAATATAGTATTATTTGGGGAGAAATAATAAGATTATAAAGAGAACTTTGAAAAATAAGCGTAATCTCTTTTATTTTGACTATGTGAAAAAAAGGAGTACCATCACCCTTCATCAGTTACAGTTTCAGGGGATTTGTGAAGATTGGTTCCAGGACCTCCTGTGCATATCAAAATCTGAGGATGCTCAAGGCCTTGACAAAAAATGGCATAGTATGTGCGTATAACCTACACACATCCTTCAAAATTATTTAAATTACCTCTACATTACTTCAAATACCTGATACAATGTAAAGGCTATGTAAATAATTATTACACTGTATTATTTAAGGAATAAAGACAAAAATGTCAGCACATGTTCAGTATAGACGCAGGTTTTCTTCTAATATTTTTTGTCTGCAGTCAGTTGAAGCCATGGATGTGGAATCCACAGATTTGGAGTTCTGACTGCATACGTTTGAAGAAGCTAGGTGAGCTGCAGAAAGCTCAAGGAAAGGGAACAATGCAAGAACTGGTCGTTGGGTTTCTAGCACAGAGTGAAGGCTCTGAGTCTGGCTCTGGATGGTAAATAGGTACATTTTGGTTCATTCCTCCACAATACTCCTATTATTCCATTGGTCTTCCTCCATTCCACGGAAACTGCTCTTGGGAAAGTCACCGGTGTCCTTTACATTACTAACTGACATGTCCAATTCTCAGTCCTCGCCATATTTAATCTATTAGCAGCATTTGAGACAACTGATTACTCCACTGACTTCCAGAACACACTGTTTAAGCTACCCCCTTCTCAATCCCCTTCACTGCTACATTTAATCCTCCCTAACTTTCTCATAATAGAGTACCACAGGGCT